TTCTGGCGGTACCTTTCGCCAACATCACCCAAATACCATGTCGAAACAGCGCGTTCCTTGTTACAATTACATGCCATTGCACCTGCCAGTCGGATGGTCGAAAGTGCCATCGCTTCGATCATCGTAGAGCAGACCGGCCAAGATTCCGTTTCGAGGAGCTCATCAGATTGTGCCCGACGTTTTGCGACACTGTGGACGCACGTTATGCACGAACTGAATCTGCAGTCAGAAAAGCGTGTTAACATTACTCGCCGACCAAGTGGTAACATTCTACAAGCCTCGTCAACAGCAAGCGACTTCCACTCTGTCTTGACAAGGCCGCTGCTCTTGCTCCTTGACACTCTCGCAGAAGAAGGGTCGGAAACCTCTACGTTCTTGCAAAATTGGCTACCAGATACGCCAAGCTTGAACAGAGTCTTTGAGATCCTTGCAATTCACATCCAATCACTCAACTGTTTGGCAGCTTTAAGCAATTTGGCACCTAATACGACATCCCAGGGACCACCAGCACGTTCCAGAAGAGACGACACAAAGGAATGCCTGTACTACCTCAGGCATGTCTTTAATGTCATCAAGCGGCCATCACATTTCACGTGGGTAACTCTTGCTGAGGTCACTCTGTCCTGGCCAGAACCCTCCTCACCGCGTATCTCCATCCAGGAGTGGCTCACACGTACATGTTTGACGACACTGTCGCTTCAAATCGGCTCATCAGATACAGTTATAGGGCCTCACATACATGAGCTACACCGGTTGTCGGTCTCTATGATATCGCAAATCTATCGAAGTCCATTTGCTGCACCACTTCGAGAGTTGGAACTTGAAGTACCTCTAATGGCAAGGTTAAGATCAGCGAGTCCGCCTTTGCAGAGTCTCTTATTAAGTGCAGAGTTAGCGGCACTGAAACTCCGCCTTACTCGTCCACCAGAACCAACAGCAGAGCCAAAATCTTCGAATCATCCTGCCAATCGGTCGCGCCTTTCACTAGCGATCAACAGAGACTCGGAAGATCAGACACCTGCGCCGATTCCTCCACCTCCACAATTTGTTGAGTGCTTGAAGTTCGGATTCTCCTCCTCTGCCAGTCGCCTAGTCCTTGACGACTGGATTCAGTTCCTTGTTGAAGTCCTACCAATGTTTCCTGATACGATATTCCAAAACCTCCTGCCACTTGTAGAGTGTCTTTGCAAGCAGATCAATCTTACGTTCGAGCAGCTCAAGGTTACGTTCGCAAAGACACAACCCGCACCTACTGTCTCTCCCGAGTCGACTCTGATCTCGCTCATGAACGGATTAGAGCAGATCTTGGCCAAGGCGCACGAGCGTTTGACTACGCAGGAGACGAAAGTGTCTGCCAACAAGTCTCCAGAACAACCCCAGGGTTTCTTCAGCAATGTCGTATCTGGGCTGATTTCCTCTGATGCGAACCAGGCTCGCACTCCGACCGCAAATAGTAGACTCACGGTTTTGCTTTGCTTCCAAGACACTGTTCGCATATGCTTCGCGATATGGTCTTGGGGTGGCTATGGGAATATGCTCGAACTACAAGATCACACGTCAGCGTCATCATTCGCTTACACCTCTTTACGCATGCGCAATCGGGCCCGCCGCACGTTGGAGCATCTCTTCGCTGCGGAAGCTTTGGAGTGTTTGGAGACGTTAGTAGTTCTATGGGCGCATGCGGAAGTTGACGATGTGCGAGGAGCAGCAATTACAGGGCTTCTAAATGTCCTTAATGGCTCGAAGCCAAAGCATACCATCCCAGCGATATTCAACGCTGTATACAGCCGGACGGATCCTGGGGCGTTGGACACTAACCGACTATCAACGTTGACATCTGATCTTACTGACGCTGAACTGGTCGCCTTCCTCGTCGAGTATACGAACTCTCTGGAAGATGACGCCATGGACGAAATCTGGCAGGACTGTACTTTGTTCCTGCGAGATGTGCTCGCAAATCCTCTTCCTCATCGACAGATATTGCCTACATTGCTGGAGTTTACCGCCGTCATAGGGCAGAAGGTTGATAATACCAACTTTGGGGAGCAACGGAAGATGAGAAGGGAGCTTGCTGTGAGTGGCAATGCTTGTTCAACTGAATTGTACTAACTATGAACAGGATATCTTTGCCAGGATCTTGACTGCCATTTTCACAACACGTTCGATGGGCTATCTGCAAGACACGAACCAAGCGGTAAACGAAAAGCCGGCTGCTGTGACAAATGGCAATCGCGCACAGAAGCGAGCAACCGATGTCGTTTCCATTCTGACTACCATCGTACCGAAACTATCGATCATCCTCGTCGAGAATGACCGTGTTGCGAAGGTCGTCTCAGACATATCAGCATCCGTCATCGGACCAACCTTCCGCGCCAAAGCATTCCCTGAAAACGTATCGAGAAATACGTTGGATCTACTCCAAGGCCTGACCAAGATCTCGCCAGGCAACAAACTTCTCAAGAAAGACATCTTTGATGCTTTCAATGACCCCAAATTCTTCAACACACCGCTTCAACTGTTAAGAGAAGCTTGGCTGCCTATACTTGCGCAATGGACGCAATCAGACAAGGAGCGACTGCCTGAGCTACTTGCACGACTGTCTGCGCCAACAACGGCTGGCATCATGTTTGGAGTTGGTGCAACATCTGCGCGGCAGGAAGCCGACCGTAAAACCCAGCTTACTTTACGTCGCATTGCCCTCCTCATCCTTGCGAGTCCCGAAGATGCTTTCACACCAAACATACCACAAGTTCTGGAGAAGGTCGTCGAATTGCTCACCGCCACGCCAGCGTCGTCTCCGTCTTCAGTCACCCGCACAGACGTCATCGTACTACTGCGTGCCATCATCTTGAAGACGTCGCCCGTCCACCTGGCGTCGCTTTGGCCCGTCGTCAATGGCGAGTTAACATCCGGTCTCTCTGCACTCCTACCAGACGCTCCAAACAAGGAGCACTACAACAACGCCGGCATCATTCAGACGTGCAAGCTGTTAGACGAACTCGTCGTACTAGACCCTGACGACTTCCAGCTCATGGAGTGGCTCTTCATCTCCGACACCATCGACGCAGTATACAAGCCGGATACCCCACCAACACTCATGTCTCTTACCGATGAGATCAACGAGGTCCTCACAAGGTCCTCGATAGCACCTCCGGCTCCTGTAACTGCACTGAATGGATCGGATACGGATGAGCCCAGGAGGACGTTATTCTTAGACCCACTTATCGAGGCTCTTGAAAAGGAAGAAGGTGCTGCGGTGTTGGAGATGACCAGGGGAGAGCTGGTGAATCGGTTGGTGAGGCCGTTCTTGGGCAATCTGGCAATGAACGCATTTGAGGCTAGGTATGGGGGTGGAGAAGCGGACTGGCAGGGTATTTGGGAGAGTGTGGTCAGAGACGCGGGGGCTTGAGCTCGATCAAGCTTGCTTTGCTTTCATGGCATGTAGTAGTGTCGTATATTATACAGCTGAAACCATCATGCATTTCATGACCCAAGATGCTCGAACGGTTACACTTCAAAGTCCTCGGTCTACCCAAGTGTCCTGATATCCTTTTGTAGGAGTGGGACAGATATTACGTATATCTGTGTTGTGAGGCTTTGAGAGCTGCTGTAACGTCGACAAGCTTTTAGGCAACGGAGTCGCAACAAACATGCGTCTCTTGGTGTGCAGGTGGTGGCCTTCTCACCCAACCTTCGGGTTTACTTCGTGCAGTATGGCCAGATACAAGACAGCCAGATGGTTGCAGGCATCAAGCTCGACATTGAAGCGCGACCATGGGCGACACCAGCATACTATTCCTTCTGCGCCTTGGTCTCCGGTATAAGTTGGGCCAGCCAGCTAACCAGCCAATCTCGTGGGCAAGGGTACGCGGCGCAGTCAGGCAGAAGTCCGAACTTCCGTGAGTCGAATTCGAGTTCACTCTGAGTCGTCCTCCTCTTCCTCTTGCATAATAGCTTCGCACTGCTCCCTAAGCTCCTGCACGCCAGCAACGCCCTTCCATTTATCCAATATCCTGCTAACCTCTTCCCACTCCTTCTCCGCCTTCTCGTCTTGATCCTGGTCTACCATATCCTGCAGCCGCCGTGGTGTATCCAGAACCCATCTCACAGTATCCTGCTGTCTCCGCTTCTTGTCTACGTCTGACTTATCTTTGTCGTCCTGCTCGACCCGTATGCTTATGCCCAGTCCCTGTTCTTTGGACTGGTGGCTGTCCTGTAACGAGGATGATAAGGATGCGGCTGTCTCGGCGATGTGGGAGATGGCAGGGCCGAGGGTGTGGGTTGTGGGGGCGAGGGGGTCCATGTTTCCGCGCATGCGTCGGATGGTGCTTGTTGCGGAGAGGAGTTTGGAGTAGTTGTCGTAGACGAGAGACTTGCGGTCGCTGTCTAGATTCCTGATCTCTGTTTCAATGTAAGCACTCCAGATATTCGCTTATATGCGTCGAGTGACTGCTTACGAGACACCAAATCTGCTTCGACCTTCAATACGCCTTTCAGTCCCTCTTTGGCAAGTAATGCCTCTACAAAGGCTTCTGCGTTGAAATCCGCAGCATCGAGCTCTGTGAGCGTCTCGTCTTCTTCCGGCCCCAACTGTGTTCTCGAAGATTCTTCGGATATTCTAGCATCTGGCGTGGCGTCGCGGGGCGCGTTCTTGAGGCCGTAGAATTCACGAAGGGCAGCGCGGTTTCGGCGTGCGGCTGGGGGTGGGCGATGCGATGAGCTGCTGTCGATTGAGGTACGAGTCAAGGAGGGGCTGCGGACCGAGGAACTGGCGCGTGGGGAGGCTATCGTCGACATGCCGTGGTACTGTTTGCTATTCTGTTGTCTGCTATGTTGTGAGGTTTAGTGGTTGGATTGCTGGAGCTTGAGCTCCATGTGAAGGGCCGAGGCCACCGTTGGGGAAAGAGCGCCCCACGTCATTCTACGCGTCGCGTCTCCCACATCGCGCCGTCTTATTCGCGAACAAGCAAAACCGCGCATCCTCAAGAAGGGTGCAAGTGATGACCGACATGGCAGCTAATCTCGCAGCCGAGCTAACACAGCACCTACATGCCCGCCATCTCTACCCTACCGCCGCCTGGCTGCAGGGCTTCCTCTCCACAACCCGGCCCAACACGCCGTTGCCCGCCGTCAAGCAGACAGCCCACTTCCGCCTACTAGCTACCGACATAACCGCGTCGCTCAGCCAGCCTGCAGGCTCCGTATTTCCCGACGATGTGCTAAAGGGTACTACAAAATCCCGCATCGTCCCTGGTCCAGTCGTCTGCCAGGTGCTCGACGTCGAAGATATAGGCCACTCGCGCTGGTCGCAGGTCGAATCTATCGAAGCGCAGGAGCGGGGCGAGATGACAAAAGGAAGGGAGATTGTGCGCGTTGTAGAGCAGGAGGATGAGGGCACTGCTGAAGCTGCGGCTCCTGTGCTGAGCAAAGGGCCATTCAAGCTGCTACTGCAAGATGCCAAAGGCCTCAAGATCTACGCCATGGAGCTAAGAGGCATAGATGGGCTCAATACCAACATGGCCATGGGCGTCAAACTCCTCCTGAAGAACTTTGACGTGAGGAGAGGCGTCGTCATGCTTGAGCCCGGCAATGTGCAAGTGCTAGGTGGAAAATTGGAGGCACTAGACAAGGCTTGGAAAGAGGGAAGAAAGGAAAGGCTCATGGCATCTGCCAGGGTGACGGGATAGGCTGAGGGTGCTGGTGTTGTATGTGCTGAACCACTACATAATTTTAACAAAGTATCTATGGGTTGTCGTTTTCCATCTCTTCTTAGATAGAGGCCTGCCGTATGGCAGCGAACGATCAAAACCGAGGCACTTTGTTATGTATCCTTCATGCTCTAATGAAAATAACACCAATTGCTACGTATCTGTTTAGAAGTAGTCTTGTTGATATCAAAGCGTTGGTCTCGATCTTACTAAGCGCTGTCATGCACTGCTCATGCGAATGTCGCGTCATAGAGAGATGTTGAGAAAGACGCGAACATCGGTCATCAGTAGTGGCGGCATCGCTGCTTACTGATGCATGAAGCTACTCGGCTATTTGCTTAAAATCATGACGGAAATATGAGAAGATATCATGCAAAGCTAGACATGATGTTCCCGGAATTGGCTCGGACTTGGGAGGCAGGCGCTGATACATGCGAGCCAGCGCGGTCGTCGTTTAGTGAGTGCTTTTCCGAAGTCTTGCGGACCGGAATTCTGCTAGGGGAGAGGATGGTGAAGTCGATATTCCCGCAAGTGTAATGGTATATGCCGCAATTGAGTCTAAATGAATATGCCTCATTCGAAGGTATACCCAAAGCGGTAACGTTGTAGCGAAGACCCGCGTCGACGTTAAGCTAAACATTGTGGAGGACAAAGCGTGGCTGAGCAAGCTTTGGTCTGCGTGAGGCGTACACGTTTGCAACGCGTTGCGAAGTGAGCTACTTACGCGGGGTTATAGTGATCGTAGACGTGTGGTGGCTGAGGCTGTTGGAAGCGCACGCTGGGGTTAGTACGTAGTCGACTCATACTCTCTCAGTCGACGCGGAGTCGCATTGCAGCATTGCGTTGCTATGGCACCGCAGCATGCATATATGCCACCGCCAGATTCGCGGCGTTGGCGGTCTCCTGATCAGCCTCGTACAGCTTCAGCGGTGAAGTCGACCCGACGGAAACGTGTCGAACCGAGTCGTACCTTGATTGGGCCCATGTAAACCGGACGACTCAAGGGCAGCAAAGGGCTGTGCGTATGTAGATGAAGGTAGACGGTAAACGCAATTCGGTATGCGTAGCGACGGCTGATAGCGCCACGAGATGCACTTTCCTCTTTCGGGATCGTTCGTCCTGGAAGCACGCCCTCACCGGAGCCGGAGTAGTGGAAAAGGGCGGAGCGGAGACGGATGCTATGAACGCACTGTTCACCGTTTTTTGTTTGTGCCTGACAATAAACGCACAGATGCCATAAACTCAATACCTTGGACAGTCGGGCTGTATGAGCGCAAAAGTAATCAAACTGTTCAGCCATCAGGCATGACGACGGTGCAAAGTTGCTGGTCGCAGATTGACTGCCTCGGAGCACGCAATAGCGACGCTCCAGAGAAGCGCATGATCGTGTCATCAAATTATACTGGTTCATGCAGGGTCGTTAGCGGGTTTGTCAGAGAGTATTTTTCAGCATCTCTGACAAAGCCAGCTTGATCTACCAATGGCGCAATTGATGCCCAGGGTGATTGGTACCCTGGGTCATTTCACGATGGTTTGCTTGGGCGCGGGGGTCAGACTGAGCGACAGGTCCGCGTGGCCCGCCCAGTCAGACATCCACGGGTCGCTTGTGACGACGCGGACGAAAGCTGTGAGGGAGCGAAAAGCCGATGTGCTAGGCAGCCGGAAAACCAAGGTCCCAAGGCGTCGGCCGAAGCGACGACTCTATACGACGGTACGAAGGGTGCCGGACGTCAGCCTGTGGCTGAACTGCTGTCGTGAGCCAAACCAACCTCGCGCAATGGAGGGATTGGTGACCCCTTAGGCGAGACGGTGGACACGTTTGACAGGCACAGATTCAGGGCTGACCGCTCTGCCTGTACAGAGGTCCGTGGCTTAGCCCTGACGACAGCGCATCCTGGAACCGCAGGCAGCCAGGCAGCGCAGCTTCGCCCAAGCACCCTCTAGCTCGAACAACGCACCGCGAGGATATTAGCAGGGGAAACGCGAAAAGCGAAGAGCCCAAAAAGAAAAAACCCTGACGGCGCGATGTGGGCGGACGATGAGTGATGCAATGCATCGTGGGTTAGTAAACGCCGACAAGAGCGAGACCCCGATTACCCAGCGCCGTGGCATGTGAGCATGGGCAGACTGTATATCCGCGCAACGTCCGGCGTCCGCTTCGTAACGCCCGTATGTGCATGCGGGCGAAAGTCTCTACGACCGACCGGGCTGTATCGTAAGCCGCGCTAGCACCCCTGCAGTCGTGCCCAGGTGTGAATCATAGTGTGTTAGCTCACCGCATCCGTCCTTGCTCGGCCAAGAGCGGTGGAAACATGCCAATAATTCCGAGCACCCGTTATCCATCCTCCATGCGCCAGCGAAACATAAGAAACACGCCTGTCCTCGCTTCAGATTCCATCATCATCAGCTCACACACCAGTCCACCACTCCTCGGCGAATTACAACATCACTCGACAATCAGAGTCGATCAACATTACATCACACATCTCGGAATCTAACTACGCTCGGATCACCTTCCCTCCATTGGCTGCTGCTTTAAGGTTTGTACCCTCGTTCTCGACAGTCATAAAACCAACCTGACTCACAATTTTTAGGCTCTCATATACTACTGCCTTATACACACCAAACATGCCTTCTTCATCACACCTCCGCATTCAAACTTCCTTCGAGCCCTTTACGGCTGAGACTACCCGCTCCCACTTCATCTCATCACCACCGCAAAAGAAGCAGAAGATGTCTCTCACCCAAACCTACTACATCGCTGCCTCTGCCCGCTCCAAGCTCGGCAAGGAGGCATGCAGGGCCGACCACAACCTCCGCCTTCTCGTTGGCCACGCAAACCTCCTCGACAGCCTTATGGTCGAACTCCAAGATGCCGAACGCCAGCAAGAGCAATGGTTCAACCAGACCATGGCCAAGGCCTCCAAGACTGAAGAGTCCCGACACATCCAATGGGCCGACAGCATCGCTGAGGAGGAAGAGGACGACGACTCGGAATCAGACTCCGAGTCCGAGAACGAGGACGACTTCGACATGATCGCACTCCCTCGCCGCATCGCTCAATCACCGGTTCAGATCAGCACAATGGAGGTGGACGAGGATGAGGACGACGAGGAGGAGTTCTACGACGACATGGAGGACGACTCAGAACTGGCTCTTACCCGGGTACCATCGCAATTACAATCACCACCCGAGCTCACCTACGAGGAAGAGTCCGACGACGAGTCTCCACCCACATCGCCCCCGCAAGCGTCCTTCAACTTCACCGAGAAGGAAGCCATGCTCACAACAACTTTCTACGACGCCAAACCACAATCAGAAAACATCGAAGACCATCCGCTATTCATGGACACCACCGCTCCGCTCATCTCAAGTTATTAGGCCAGCACACCACCATGTTCCGACCTTTTGATTTTTGATCCAGCGTTTTCAGCGAGCGAGTCCTTTACAGCATAGCGTAGCATTTTCGAGCATTATATCCTCTGTTTTCTTTTATTGGCATATACCGCAGGGCGGTCGGGATCTTCACGCAGGATCTCACGAACAACTCTACTCAGAAATTATTGGATGGATACGGGATAGGAGGATTTGGGATATTGGTCTCGAGCGGTTCGACGTCTCCCGAAGGCAGTGGTCGAGACTCCCGCCATAGCTAGAAATTTCAATGATGATCATTACACCCACAAAAACAATCTCCACGCTTTTCTCAGGTGATGCGCTGCTATCGCTACAGGCTGCATGCTAATCGAACCTTAGCAGGTCACAGGTACACTCCCCATGCATGACTGATGAACTGTCAACAGCACACGACACAGCAACAGACCCCACGCATTACAGTTTCCTGTCAACATGCCCAGTCACACATTTGGTGCTGGGAAATTCCTAGGGTTGACCGACTTTTGGCCAGTGCGTCAGACCCTGGCCCCTCGCATGCATCCCGCATAGGGCGGGCACTTCGCATCGCGGACGCGGCTGCTTTTCGCCGAGCGCGCCTTGCATGGCTGAGCGATCTGTCGTCGCAACGCTTGCCTGGTGAAAGTGCACTTCCGGTCAATCACCTTCGTGTCCCCGCATACACAGAGCAGGCGTTGCGAGCTTGATTGCGTACACCGATCGCACCGCCCCACGCACCGCCGAGTGACCATCTGCGTCTGCCTGGGAAGATCTGGTGTGTATGCAAGGCATGCAGCCGCAAGCAGCCGGGTCAACTCGGCGTTTGGTTCTGCCCACGTCCGAAAAGTGTGCGCAGGCAGACAGGCTGCTCGGGGTTTGAATGTATCCGATCGGACACAACAGGAGCTCGCGTACGACGGTCACGTTTGGTTCCGCTCGGGCGAAACGCGGACACATGAGCCAGACTCGAGCGGATCAGCTGGAAGCAGATTATCCGTTGCACGCAGATATGCATCCTCTATTCGCACTCGCATCTTGACGCACTTGACAGCTGTAGGATGAGCGGTCTATGGCAATCTGTTGCGAAACCCACTCGTCGAGGGCTTCTGGACCGCAAAAGCTTTGATCTGAGCAAGGTCTCCCGTCTCCACACTGTCAGAAGTTGAAGACGGAAGTTACAGCGTCGATCTCTCCTTTTCCCCACGCTCCACTGCTGTCGCGGCGATACCGGCACTGACCCTCCACGATGCTCGTCTCGAAACGCTACCATGGCACGAGAGATGATCAAATCTCATATCAGACTCGGTACCAAACATCGAGTCAAAACATGTCCATGCCCGCAATCTCGAGGTTTCAACATCTCGTTTCGACATGGCGGTGGACGAAACGATTCATACAGCTAATCTTCTCATAGCCATCGTCGATTTTGCTTTTACTAGAGACGGACTGCCTCAGTCACACCCGCTAGCTGATGCTGCGCTGTGGTTCGCGAGGCCTAGTGAAACAGGTACGAATCTAGCTTGCGCGTAGCCCGCTCTACGCAATCCGCTTGAATGAAGCGAAACCCTGTTTCCAAGTTACGGAGG